TCTCATGATTTTTTACAAAAATAATTACTTTAGCATTGCCTTGGGGTGCTTAGGTCATGAAAATAAAATTTCTCAAAATAAAAGGAATTTAAGGGTCAGTACAAAAATAGTTTTTTGCCTGTAACTTTTTTTATTTACCAATCAATATTCCAAGTGATTTCGGTTTTGAGTTTAGCTGAGGAGGGGCAGTTAAAGAAATATGTTCCGTAGGGTCAATTTATGACTCCTTATAGGAGTTTTAGTGAATTGAAAAACAGTCGGTTTTTTTTTTTTTTTTTTTTTTTTTTTGCATTTTTTGAATAATTATGAAAGAGTTATATCTCTTTGAGTAGCTGTAGATATTATGTAATAACCAATTCACTTTAAGCTCCTTAATTTTTAGGGGTCGAAAAGCCCTCCGTTTTTGTTGAACGACAAAAATAAGGTCTAGTTATTATTATTCTTTTTCTTCTTACAATTTTTGTGCAGAAGATTTCTCGGAGATGGCTCGATCGATTAACTTGAAATTTTCAGGAAAGGTGTGTCGTCAACTAAACCTGATCCGTTTTTCTCATTTTTTCGAAAATCACTTCCGGTCGGAAGTTATTGCCCTTTAATCAAAATTTAGAGGACCTCCTTGTCATCACCAGAACTCAAGAACGGCTAACGCTAGAACACTGAAATTTTTACCAAAGATAAAGGACATGTTGTCAAGATGCACAATGGTTTTCAAATTTTCTGGAAATGCCTAGTATGGAAGCTCGGTAGGGGTCAATATCTAGGAAACGTATCATGACTGAATTTTTGAGACATTTTCCATCATATCTTTTAAAACATAATTATTCTGTTATAACATACTGAGCAATATTTGTGCAAAATGAGAAGATCTTTAATATGATATCAAGAAAAATGTGCTGACTCATCACATTAGGGGCCGAGAGGGGCCAAAAGTATTTGTTCGATAACTCTTTAACAGTCAATATTTTGTTATTAATTACTGAAGCAAAAATGTTTATCTCAACAATCTACAACTATATATTACAATTTGAGTGTCGTATTGTGCATAATAAGGGGCCATAAGGGGCCAGAATGCTAAATCTTTGACGCTTTATATCTCAAAAGAGGGAAATATTTTGATAAGTAATATTGAACAAAAGATGTTCAAAATAATGTTCTGAACAATATGCAACCTTTAGTTTTTCGCTATACGTCCCCTTTAAGGAGTTGAAGGGTTGGCCCCTAAATATTTCTTTTGCTTATAACACGAAAACGAAAGAGAATCTCTGAATAGTTGTTGAACAAAAAGGGTTCAAAATCCTGAGAGCTTCAAGATGAGATCAAGAAAAAGGGGCTTGGCACTTAAATTCAGGGCCGAGAGGGGCTAAAAGTCTTTAATCGATAACTCTTTAGCAGTCAATATTTTGTTATACATTACTGAAGCAAGAATGTTTATCTCAACAATCTACAACTATATATTATGATTTGAATGTCGTATGGTGCATAATAAGGGGCCATAAGGGGCCAGAATGCCAAATCTTTGAAGCTTTATATCTTAAAAGTGGAAAATACTTTGATAAGTAATATTGAACAAAAGATGTTCAAAATAATGTTCTGAACAATATGCAACCTTTAGTTTTTCGCTATACGTCCCCTTTAAGGAGTTGAAGGGTTGGCCCCTTAATATTTCTTTTGTAAATAACTCGAAAACAACAAAGAATCTCTGAATAGTTGTTGAACAAAAAGTGTTCAAAATCCAAAGAGCTTTAAAATCAGATCAAGAAAAAGGGACTGGGAACTCAAATTAGGGGCCAAAAGGGGCCAAAAGTCTTTAATCGATAACTCTTTAGCAGTCAATATTTTGTTTAACATTACTGAAGCAATGATGTTTATCTCAACAATCTACAACTATATATTATGATTTTTATGTCGTATGGTGCATAATAAGGGGCCACAAGGGGCCAAAATGCTCAATCTTTGACGCTTTATATCTCAAAATTGGGAAATATTTTGATAAGTAGTATTGAACAAAAGATGTTCAAAATAATGTTCTGAATAATATGCAACCTTTCATTTTTCGCTTAATGTCCCCATTAAGGAGTTGAAGGGTTGGCCCCTAAATATTTCTTTTTCGAATAACTCGAAAACGAAAGAGAATCTCTGAATAGTTGTTGAACAAAAAGTGTTCAAAATCCTGAGAGGTTTAGGATGATATAAAGAAAAAAGGGCTGATCCCTAATATAAGGGGCCGTGAGGGGCCAAAAGTCGAATTTTTGAGCCTTCATGTTCAATGTCTGTTTACAGATTATGGAGGCAAAATCGTTCTTCTTCACAATCTTTATCATTATTTTAGAATAAAATTCTCAATCAAAATCTTATCTCATCTGATCAAGAATCGGACGGAAGACCCACTCGTTGCTCGCAACGAGATCGTATCTAGTTCTTAATTATTTTTTGTGCATACAATAAAATGTAAATCCTGTAAAAATGGTACAACATATACATGTACGTACTAAAAATATATTTATAGCTTATCTGTGAATTATTTAATTATTTTTTTTAGGGGGTGGGTGGGGGGGGGGGTAAGACGAATCATACAGTGACATACACTTACTTTCATTGCCGTTTTTTGCTTAAAATTATGAGTTTTACTATTTGCTTTAAGAAACAGTTCAATAATTGAAGTGAAAGTTGATTTGGGATACAAGTATATACATCACATGTCCTAAATCAAGGGCATGTTTTTTTTTCATATTCATGGTTCATACATATTTCATGAAATGAAGTGATGAAGTGGTAAACAACAATTTACGTGAAAACCGAATTAAACAAATTAAAATAATCGTCTATAACAAAAACAATAATAAAAGTATTACAGTTGATTTAACCCCTGACAATGGTTTCCTTGAGAGATTATGTTTCATGTTTTCTTTTATGAGCATGCTGGTAATTTGATTAGTTCCTAAAAGTATAGAAAGAAAAATATATAGAGAGAGATGAAAAAAAGTACATTTTAACTCGGAAAGGTTCGTCGTAAAGATGTAGCTATGTTACATTAAATCATGCACTGATATATGACAATGGTTTTCATAAGAAATAAAGGAAAGAAATTTTCAGTTGATGTAAATATGTTGTAATGACGAAATATCTCCATCTACTTCAGCATACGTTTGTGTTGAATCCAAATGATTTTGCATAAAAAAATAATATTCCGCAAAAAATGCCTATGACAATATGCGAAAATTTATTTTAGGATAGAAACAATTACAAATATATACATATTAATAATTTTAGAAGATATCTGGCTAACAGAGGGGTTGTTTCTGTTAAATATTAAAATTTAGGACCTTTCTCATTAACTGTAGACTTAACAATGCTGCAAACTTGATTCTTTTTACATATGTTTTGATAAGTTTCTCAATAGAGTATACGAGGGCATAATGAAGTAATATTCTGTAAATATCCAGGTAAACATTATTTGTTTTTGACAACATTTTGTATTTATGGTTCTTACATTCAAACAATGATATCACATGCATCTACATGTATATCTGATGTAAGGAAAATTCGTTTAACTGTTACATGTAACTAATGTAGTAGAAATGCTTATGGTTAGAAAATAAGAGAAATTCTGTTCATGTAAACCGGAAAAATACTATCAAATTAAATGATAAAAAGTTATTGAATAGAAATCGGGGTGTTTATCCCCTGTCGGTGTACTTGCATATTCGGTCGGTTATACTGGGCATAGGTCAGGCAGGTCTATTTTCCAATGTACAGACAATAAGTTATCAGTCGGATTTTAAAGAGTCGTCAACATTCATTGACGCCTTAAACAATCAGACATTATCCACAGGTTCAGGTTGTATTTGGTTGAAGACATCCGTTAATCGGTAAGGTTACAGTTTTTGCTTTGAAAAACATCATTGATTTTCCATACTTAAATTTGTAAAAAGAAACATATGGGGATATCGAACAGGGATCAAGATCAAAAGTTCATAAAATAATACAAAATACAATGTAGGAGCAAAGCAGACACGTACCTTGAAAACATCAGAGATGGGATCAGGTGACATTGAGGAGTGAACAACAGTTAATTGGCAGATTAGAAGATTTTCAAAGTATTAATTTACTTTCAGTACATAATAAATAAGCACCCTCTTATACCACCCCAAAATGGAACCACTGACGAAGGGGCCATGAAATTCACAATTTTAGAAAAAGACACTCTTCCTCATCATAACTGTGTATTTTATTCGTCAGCTTAATTGACAGAAGCAGAGGAGAAGATTTTGAAAGATTTAATGTTTTTTATTATATAATAATAAGAGTTCCACCCTAACAAAAGAAACCTGACCCAGGTGCATTGAAATCCACCATTTTGGACGAGGCACTCTTCCTCATCATAACTAACTACCTAGTTCGTCAGCTAAATTCGACGATTTTCAAAGATTTAATGCATGTTCACCATACAATCATTGGAGTCCCGCAATAACACCAGAGCCCTTGATCAAAGGGCCATTAAATTCACAATTTTGGAAGAGGCAGCCTCCCTCATCAAAACATTTTACTTAGTTCATCAGCTAAATGCTTTACAGCAGAGAAGAATTTTCCAATGATTTAATGCATTTTTTAGTAAATAATCATTAAAACCCTGCCATAGCGCCAAATATCATGGCCCTAAGGCACGAATTTCAAAATTTAGGGTTTTGGCCCACCTCTCAGGTCCGAGAGGGACGGGGACCATGACATTCATAATTTCTGTTCACCCATAAATGCTTTGTGCCAAAATTGGTTTAAATAAGTTGAGCTGTTGTAGCCAAGAAGCCGAGAATGTTCATATATTTTTCATATATTTTACTCAGCTGACCTAAAAAATAAAATCTAAAAAAATGAATTGTAATCATCCTCAAATGTTAATAAAAAAATAATTATTAGTAGATTAGACACGAAGCTATTATATCAAGAGATAATTGATAAAGGTACCTAGAAAGGATACTTGCAGATAATGATTATATACTTACAGTTCCTGTAAATTTGACAAACCATCGAAGGCATTGGTCTGAATAATGGTTATCTTGTTGTTATGTAACCACCTTAAACAGATTTTTAAAATAAACAAAGTGCATTTGTTTCACTTAACATAATTCAGACAAGTATCATTTCTACAGACATTTAATTTATTCCTTCAAAATGATATTGATGGATGGGACTGTAAAGCTGTAAGCGTTATTAAGATTGGGGATTTTTTTCAAAATACTCCTCTAGTCGCTTAATGAATCACTGTTAAACTCAAAAACAGCAAAATTTACATATTATATATTTAAATCAATCATTCATGAGAGACCAAAAAGAATTTTTCAGTCTAATTTTTTCTTCTGCTCTTATTTCTTTTTTTATGGACACTTGTTCTTAAATACTGGTGTTTTCCCCTTATGTTTCATTGTAATATGAAATTCTTGATTCTTGATAAAGTTTTGTGCATGCCAAAATATGTTACTCATATTAACATTTGACAACATACACAAATATATACTGAAAAACATATGCATATATAAACTGCCAATTTAAAAACCAGTTATTTTTTATTATATAATTAAGGGACGACTTATCAAAACAGTTACCTTCATTACCGTATTATGCTCAATTTTGTGAATTTTACAATTAATTTTAAAAAAATAATTTCAGTTCAATCATTTGAAATACCGGTTGCAGTGCTATATATGTATATATCATCACAAGTTGTAAATCAATGGCATGCGTTTCATATTTCTGGTTCATACATTATTTACAACAGAGAAATGGTAGGTCTATACAAAAGTCAATGTGGATAAACAAATTAAACAAATAAAAACGAACAAAAACATGATTAAAAGTATGACAGCTGATGTTACTTCTGACATCAGATTTCAGGAGAGATTAAATCTAAGATATTAGTTTAAGAACCTTCTGGTAATTCTTCAATTAGTATCAAACATTATACACATGTAGTAAAAAAAAACATAGAAGGATTGAACAATCACAAGCACATTTAAACTCGAATGGGTTCATCAAGATGTACCGGCAGCTAAGTTAAATTAAAAAGTATTAAGCACCATATGTATTTGTCTAAAGCGTGTGCATATTTTGTGTTGTTGAAGAAAACATTATTTGTTATTTGAAATCTTCTCTTTTTCAAAGATTTTTTAACTAAAATTGAAACCAACTCTAATTTCAACGAAAACTGCATGGAACCAAACGATAAATATTTGTGGAAAATGATTCAATAGCAGAGAATATGATAGACGTGTAGTGGACATATATAACGGTTTTTGTTACAATAAATTCTAGACAAGCTTACAGTTTACGTAAATTGTATAAGCTTGAGAAGACATTGTCCTGTATCGTGGTGATTTCGTTTTCGTAAAGAATTCTATAAAAGCAATAACAGAAATCATATGTAGATAGTCCTTCTACAATATATACCCTGAAGAATCGTGATCTTCATCAAAATCTATTTTTAAAAACGATTAATGAAACCCATCACTGTTCATAGTGGTTCAAGCATGGTTCGAAATTCATTCATACGTAATATAGATTACAAATGCTACTTGCATTGATTTTGAAATGTAATTTCTCAAATAAATGAGTTTTATTTTTGTAATTTATAAAATGATAGAATTATAACTACAGTATAACTACTTTGCATTGCAGTTTATTATTCTTAATTATTTTTTGTGCATACAATAAAATGTAAATCCTGTAAAAATGGTACAACATATACATGTACGTACTAAAAATATATTTATAGCTTAACTGTGAATTACTTAATTATTTTTTTTGGGTGTGGGGGAGGGGGGGGGTAAGACGAATCATACACTGACATACACTTACTTTCATTGCCGTTTTTTGCTTAAAATTATGAGTTCTACTATTTGCTTTAAGAAACAGTTCAATAATTGAAGTGAAAGTTGATTTGGGATACAAGTATATACATCACATGTCGTAAATCAAGGGCATGTTTTTCTTTTCATATTCATGGTTCATACATATTTCATGAAATGAAGTGATGAAGTGGTATACAACAATTTACGTGAAAACCGAATTAAACAAATTAAAATAATCGTCTATAACAAAAACAATAATAAAAGTATTACAGTTGATTTAACCCCTGACAATGGTTTCCTTGAGAGATTATGTTTCATGTTTTCTTTTATGAGCATGCTGGTAATTCGATTAGTTCCTAAAAGTATAGAAAGAAAAATATATAGAGAGAGATGAAAAAAAGTACATTGTAACTCGAAAAGGTTCGTCGTAAAGATGTAGCTATGTTACATTAAATCATGCACTGATATATGACAATGGTTTTCATAAGAAATAAAGGAAAGAAATTTTCAGTTGATGTAAATATGTTGTAATGACGAAACATTTCTAACTATCAACTTCAGTTTTGAATCCAAATGATTTTGCATAAATAAATAATATTCCGCAAAAAATGCCTATGACAATATGCGAAAATTTATTTTAGGATAGAAACAATTACAAATGCATACATATTAATAATTTTAGAAGATATCTGGCTAACAGAGGGGTTGTTTCTGTTAAATATTAAAATTTAGGACCTTTCTCGTTAATTGTAGACTTAACAATGCTGCAAACTAATATAATGATAAAGTGGTATACAACAATCTACGTGAAAACCGAATTAAACAAATTAAAATAATCGTCTATAACAAAAACAATAATAAAAGTGTTACAACTAATATAATGATGAAGTGGTATACAACAATATACGTGAAAACCGAATTAAACAAATTAAAATAATCGTCTATAACAAAAACAATAATAAAAGTATTACAGCTGATTTAACCCTGACAATGGTTTCCTTGAGAGATTATATTTCATGTTTTCTTTTATGAGCATGCTGGTAATTTTTCGATTAGTTCCTAAAAGTATAGAAAGAAAAATATATAGAGAGAGATGAAAAAAAGTACATTTTAACTCGAAAAGGTTCATCGTAAAGATGTAGCTATGTTACATTAAATCATGCACTGATATATGACAATGGTTTTCATAAGAAATAAAGGAAAGAAATTTTCAGTTGATGTAAATATGTTGTAATGACGAAACATCTCTATCAACTTCAGCATACGTTTGTGTTGAATCTAAATGATTTTGCATAAATAAGGTCGTTTAAAGCAATCGCTAATTAAACGCATTTAATTGATTTCCGAAAAACACAGGTGGTGGGTCTTTTGACACTTTCCCCGATTGCTGCGAGTATAAAAGAGGGGCGCACGTGGCGTTTTTCACCTCTCGCTCGATAGCTTTCCCAGCGTTTCTGCACTTTTGATAATTGTTTGTGCTAAGTCCACCAAGGCAAGCAGGCGGACCAAGGGAGCCAGGCAGGATCAGGGCAGAGGGGGGAGACGAAACCTAACCGCTGTCCACCACGCAGACACCAGGGCAGACCCTGAGATCGAGCGGGTTGCGATTGGTACAAGTACCCAGGCCTGGGAGGATATTCATGCCTCCACGGGAATGGTGGAGGAGCATGTGCCGCTCACTACTAACTATAAGGGTAGGCAATTAGTTTTTTCTACTTCGGAAGCTGCCCTGTCACCGGCAGTTAATTTCGGGGCGATGCCAAACATGGAGGTTTGCGCTGGGGACGATAATTATAGGTGCCCATGTTCCAATCATGTTCCAACCGCTTTAAAACAAAAAAATTTGGGCGGGGAACTATATAAACTTAGTCCTGCTTACAAAGGGAAGCGCTGAACTGCAGCAGTTCACTGCGGGTAGTAATTTTGTCTAAAATGATAGGGGGGAACTCGAGGCTAAGCCCAAAATTTTTGAATCAAGATAACAACAATCGATAAATGGACTGATGTTTTTCGGTTATTTATGCACATATATATTCAAAGGCACCCAGTGAGGACAGCTGAATTGGTTTAATATATGTTTGTCAATCGCATTGCAGCGAGGAAATTTCCGGGCATGGGATGGAGAAATTACGACGAGCAGTTTAGAGTTCGTCAAGCAATCTCTTACCGAAATTGGTCAAAATTAAATTTATGGCTACGCTTGATCGCTGTCCCACCCAGGACGGAACTTAGCCTCGCTGCACCGCATGCACCAAACCAAACTGGTGTCTGCTTCAGTTACAATAGAGGCCGTTGCATTACAGCCAGGCCGTTGCATTACAGCCAATTGCAAATAGGCGCATTTAGGTTCTCTTTGTAAAGGAAAGCACCCAAAATCAAGTTATGCAAAAAATGATACTTTTCGTACCTCAAAAGCCTCAAACAGCACCGATGCAACCAATAAAGGTTAAAAAGTTTAAACTAACAAATTCCTCTATAAGTACTGCAGCTTTAAAAAATTCTCTTACAAATTATCCGAATTTGGAAGTAGCAAAAGAACTTATAAATGGTTTTCAATTTGGTTTTCGATTGTATTACTGGGGTCCTCGAGAAAAAACAGAAGCCCATAATTTGCCCTCTTTTTATAAACATGCAGATGTCGCTAGAGATGAATATCAAAAAAGAAATTGATAAAGGAAGGATGGCTGGCCCATTTAAATCACGACCTATGTCAAATTTGCGAGTTTCGCCACTGGGAGTAGTGCCCAAGAATGCGGAGGGGGAATTCAGGGTAATTCATCACCTCTCATACCCTACCAATAACTCCGTCAACGATTTTATGATTATTGAAGGCATATTTAAGAAATCGAAAACCAACTTGAAAACCATGCCATCTCTTATAGGATATCTAAATTTTGCTTGCAGAGCAATTCCTCCAGGTCGCACTTTCTGCAGGCGGCTGTCGAATGCAACGCATGGTTTCTCTCAACCCTATCATCATTTAAGAGTAACGAAAGAGATAAAAGCGGTTTTACTTGTATGGCTGGAATTTTTTGACAAATTTAACGGCTTTGTGGTATTCCAAGAAATGTTTTGAGTAACTAACATAGATTTAGAATTTTTTACAGATAGCTCGGCGCGTCGAGGAAATGGTTTGGGAATTTATTTTAGCGGTGCATGGACCTACGGTGTATGGCCAGAGTTTTGGCTCAATAAGGGCTATACTAAGGATATAACTCTGAGTTGGATTTTTTCCCTTGCTTGTTTCAGTATTTTATGGGGAGAAAAGCTGCGCAACAAAAAAAAAAGTTTTGTTAGATCCGATAATCAATCAGTGGTACATATTGTAAATTCGATGACATCAAAATCAGAATAAGTAATGATCATGTTGCGCAAAATCGTTTTAAAACGCTTGCAGTTGAACATTTCATTTAAAGCACAGCACGTCTTGGGCGTTCAGAACTTATTGACGGACAGTTTGTTACGTTTACAATTTCAGCGATTTCACAAGTTGTCTCCGGACGCAGACAGTCAGCCGACACCATTTCCAGGGGCACTTTGCGTTATTTTCAAGACGAAATCACTCGATTGTTAGCTGCAAGCATTTCAGCAAACACCAGGGCTGTATACTTACAAGCTTTAAAGAATTTTTAAGATTTCAGAATATTGACAAAACTACCTGATAAATGACCAATCCCTTCAAACTATATTCTGTCTTATATAGCATATCATTCAGGCAAGGGCTCAGCAGCTTCAACAGTTTTATCCTATATTTCGGGTATTAGCTATGTACATAAACTGAGACAATGGACCGATCCGGCAGATTTATTCATAGTTAGGAAATCTTTAGAAGGGTTGCGAAGATTAAATAGAACAAAAGACAAAAGAGCACCTATTTCGGAGGAGCTTCTCGCTAAAATCTGTGGCGTTCTAAATCAAGTGTGTTATTCGGAATATGAAACATTCTTGTTTAGATCAGTTTTTACCTTCGCCTTTTACGGCCTATTTAGGGTAGGGGAATTAGTGTATACCTGGGAGAATTGTGCCCATGTACCCTTAACTATTAAGGATATAAAATTTTGTACGTCAATGAGCGTTACTTGCGCCTCTATTTCTGTACGATTCTCTAAAACTGATCAAACAGGAAAAGGTATCAATATTTTATTACCATCTATTCATCAAAGAAACATCTTGCAGTGAGACCACGTGTTGAGAGTTCATTATTCGTGCATAGCAATAAATCCCCGCTACATGTAACTAGATATCAGTTTAACGCAGTCCTAAGAAAAACCCATTCGAAAATTAATCACCCAATTTCTGCTTACAAATCACATTCTTTTAGAATTGGAAGTGCAACGTGTCCTGCCTTAAAAGCGGTATCAGATGACAAAATCCAATTATTGGGACGCTGGAAATCAAGCGCATTCCTAAAGTATATCAGAATAGATATGATAAAAGCTTTGTGGATGAGTTGTATTTACCATATTATTTATTGCTTCCTTAGAGCACCTTGTATGGATTGTGGGATCTTCAATTGTTTACTAGGCATGTAGATAGGCGGCTACAAATCTGACTACTAACTTACGCTTGTAAAATTTAGGCGTTCAGGTAACCTGGATTTGCAAAAGGGGCATGAAATTGGGGGGGGAGCTTATTGACTCTATCGAGCAAAAGTCCTCCCGCATATTTAATTATACACCTAGGGGGAATGATATCACATCAATTAAGAGCGAGGTATTATGTACCAGAATAGAGCACGACATATGTTTAATAACAAACAGATTACCAAGTTGAAAAATGATATATTCTGATATACTCCCGCGCCGAAAAGGGATAGGGGGTCGTGACACATATGTTCCGAACGGAAGCGAAAAAGAGTTGATAGAGCTGCTCGTAGGGCAGTCGCATCAGTAAACGGCAGAGTTATTAATCACCCTGATATTGAGTTTTCGGAGGAGGGGCTTCACCGCGCTGACGGAGTCCATATGTCTGACTTATAACAAACACTTTTCAATCAGCTATAGAAGCTTTATCTCATCTTAAATTTTATTTGTTGGGTGGCAGAGATGTATAGACATCTCTGAGTGGCGGATATGTCAGACAAGCAGAGATATTTGTCATCATTATATTAATTTTTGTTATGTATGATTATCTATTTTACGTGATTTGTAGAGCATGTGGTGGCTCGCTAAGGCTACCCTAGGAGCCAATACAAGCTTGCTATGGAGTGCACTAGAAGCTTGTGTGAGGGATCTGTTTGGTATAACAGTAACCTCGTACCCCGTTCGGTATAACGGGTGGTTATTTTTGCCCTACTCGGTATAGTGGGCTTACCTGTTCGGTATAACGGGTGGTTATTTTTGCCCTGCTCGGTATAGTGGGCTTACCTGTTCGGTATAACAGGTGCCTCGCTAAGGAATCCCCTAGGAGGCAATTACATATCCCAGCTGACTCGCTAAGGGGTACCCTAGGAGTCGATTTATACATATTGTTATGCCTTGCTATGGATTACCCTAGAAGGCGAGGTGCCATAACGCCCGTTACCGATTTAGGTGTGTGGCACCCATGATTGTTAAATGCTTGTCTGACATTTGTCATTGAAACAATTATTAAAGCTGTGGCCTTTATCATCCAAAATACATGTTTTGTTATTTTTTCGGAAAAATATTCAATTAAATAATATTCCGCAAAAATGCCTATGACAATATGCGAAAATTTATTTTAGGATAGAAACAATTACAAATGCATACATATTAATAATTTTAGAAGATATCTGGCTAACAGAGGGGTTGTTTCTGTTAAATATTAAAATTTAGGACCTTTCTCATTAATTGTAGACTTAACAATACTGCAAACTTGATTCTTTTTACATATGTTTTGATAAATTTTTCAATAGAGTATACGAGGGCGTAATGAAGCAATATTCTGTAAATATCCAGGTCAACATTATTTGTTTCTGACAACATTTTGTATTTATGGTTCTTACATTCAAACAATGATATCACATGCATCTACATGTATATCTGATGTAAGGAAAATTCGTTTAACTGTTACATGTAACTAATGTAGCAGAAATGCCTATGGTTAGAAAATAAGAGAAATTCTGTTCATGTAAACCGGAAAAATACTATCAAATTAAATGATAAAAAGTTATTGAATAGATATCGGGGTGTTTATCCCCTGTCGGTGTCCTTGCATATTCGGTCGGTTATACTGGGCATAGGTCAGGCAGGTCTATTTTCCAATGTACAGACAATAAGTTATCAGTCGGATTTTAAAGAGTCGTCAACATTCATTGACGCCTTAAACAATCAGACATTATCCACAGGTTCAGGTTGTATTTGGTTGAAGACATCCGTTAATCGGTAAGGTTACAGTTTTTGCTTTGAAAAACATCATTGATTTTCCATACTTAAATTTGTAAAAAGAAACATATGGGGATAACGAACAGGGATCAAGATCAAAAGTTCATAAAATAATACAAAATACAATGTAGGAGCAAAGCAGACACGGACCTTCAAAACATCAGAAATGGGATCAGGTGACTTGGAGGAGTGAGCACCAGTTAATTTGGGTTTTCAAATTATTAATTTACTTTCAGTACATAATAAATAAGCACCCTCTTATACCACCCCAAAATGGAACCACTGACGAAGGGGCCATGAAATTCACAATTTTAGAAAAAGACACTCTTCCTCATCATAACTGTGTATTTTATTCGTCAGCTTAATTGACAGAAGCAGAGGAGAAGATTTTGAAAGATTTAATGTTTTTTATTATATAATAATAAGAGTTCCACCCTAACAAAAGAAACCTGACCCAGGTGCATTGAAATCCACCATTTTGGACGAGGCACTCTTCCTCATCATAACTAACTACTTAGTTCGTCAGCTAAATTCGACGATTTTCAAAGATTTAATGCATGTTCACCATACAATCATAGGAGTCCCGCCATAACACCAGAGCCCTTGATCAAAGGGCCATTAAATTCACAATTTTGGAAGAGGCAGCCTCCCTCATCAAAACATTTTACTTAGTTCATCAGCTAAATGCGTTACAGCAGAGAAGAAATTTTCAATGATTTAATGCATTTTTTAGTAAATAATCATTAAAACCCTGCCATAGCGCCAAATATCCTGGCCCTAAGGCACGAATTTCAAAATTTATGGTTTTGGCCCACCTCTCAGGTCCGAGAGGGACGGGGACCATGACATTCATAATTTCTGTTCACCCATAAATGCTTTGTGCCAAAATTGGTTTAAATAAGTTGAGCTGTTGTAGCCAAGAAGCCGAGAATGTTCATATATTTTTCATATATTTTACTCAGGTGACCTAAAAAATAAAATCTAAAAAAAATGAATTGTAATCATGCTCAAATGTTAATAAAAAAAATAATTATTAGTAGATTAGACACGAAGCTATTATATCAAGAGATAATTGATAAAGGTACCTAGAAAGGATACTTGCAGATGATGATTATATACTTACAGTTCCTGTAAATTTGACAAACCATCGAAGGCATTGGTCTGAATAATGGTTATCTTGTTGTTATGTAACCACCTAAAACAGATTTTTAAAATAAACAAAGTGCATTTGTTTCACTTAACATAATTCAGACAAGTATCATTTCTACAGACATTTAATTTATTCCATGAAAATGATATTGATGGGTGGGACTGTAAAGCTCTAAGTGTTATTAAGGGGATTTTTTTCAAAATACTCCTCTAGTCGCTTAATGAATCACTGTTAAACTCAAAAACAGCAAAATGTACATATTATATATTTAAATCAATCATTCATGAGAGACCAAAAAAAATTTTTTAGTCTAATTTTTTCTTCTGCTCTTATTTCTTTTTTATGGACACTTGTTCTTAAATACTGATGTTTTCCCCTTATGTTTCATTGTAATATGAAATTCTTGATTCTTGATAACGTTTTGTGCATGCCAAAATATGTGACTCATATCAATATTTGACAACATGCACAAGTATATACTGAAAAACATATGCATATATAAACTGCCAATTTAAAAACCAGTTATTTTTTATTATATAATTAAGGGACGACTTATCAAAACAGTTACCTCCATTACCGTATTATGCTCAATTTTGTGAATTTTACTATTAATTTTAAAAAAATAATTTCAGTTCAATCATTTGAAATACCGGTTGCAGTGCTATATATGTATATATCATCACAAGTTGTAAATCAATGGCATGCGTTTTGTATTTGTGGTTCATACATTATTTACAACAGAGAAATGGTAGGTCTATACAAAAGTCTATGTGGATAAACAAATTAAACAAATAAAAACGAACAAAAACATGATTAAAAGTATGACAGCTGATTTTACTTCTGACATCAGATTTCATGAGAGATTAAATCTAAGATATTAGTTTAAGAACCTTCTGGTAATTCTTCAATTAGTATCAAACATTATACACATGTAGTAAAAAAAACATAGAAGGATTGAACAATCACAAGCACATTTAAACTCGAATGGGTTCATCAAGATGTACCGGCAGCTAAGTTAAATTAAAAAGTATTAAGCACCATATGTATTTGTCTAAAGCGTGTATATATTTTGTGTTGTTGAAGAAAGCATTATTTGAGCCTCGTTGGATAGAAATCGACCTTATCGTATGCAACTTCATAATGAGAAAAAAGCGAATAAAGTTGAGAAAGATTTCCCGGTATTTTTACTACACATGGTTTTCACGTTAAGGAATGTTTTAGACATCGTTAACTGCAGTTCAAAGATTTTTTTTTAAATTGGATCATTTTAAACATGTACTAATAAAATAAACAAATTTTAAATGTATTCCCCTTCGTAGAGCCTTATTTTTTTATTGTTACCATGGATCAATGTAAACAAAAGCCAGAGGAATCCCGAGTGCGATCTGCACTTATTTTTTTTTTCAAATAGCAGAAGACGTAAGGCCATATCTAACACCAGATAAATAATAAGTTGGTAAACATATAGCGGAGGAAAAATGGCATGGTGCATTACTGAGGAAGTACAGAATGTATTTTTAATTGTAGTTTAGAGTTTAAATTTTAGCCTGAGGAGACGTAATCTGGTACAGAAAATCACATGTACTGATGCAGTAATAGCCTAGTGTGTGAACTGCATTTACTATCATCGTGTGCACATGTATTCATTCATTCACGATTAAATTTGCAATATTATATTAGATATAATACTTAATGTTTCATTTCTTTGAATGAATTTACGTGTATTTTAATAATTTATCACAGAAATTAACCAACCAACCAAAACAAAACAAACAGCTATGCATATCGATTCAGTACAAAGTATCCAAAGGCCACGATTCAACAACTTTTTAAACGCACTTTCCTTACTACAATATTAAGTAGGGATGTGCGATTTTATCGGTATACCGGTATGTCGCGATTTTTTTGTTGCGTGATACGTATCGTGATACGGAGGCCTAAATACCGGTCTTTTGGTACATGTTATAAAATCCAGAAATAATTCATTTATTTGTTCAATCTTTCAAATTACAATTACATAAAGTATAACAAATGTTGTAAAAAGTGAAAAGAACGGCATCTTACCGTCCAAACATAATTGATTTTATATACATAAAAATTTCAAGAAAATAAAATTTCATTTTTCTAGCATATTTTCTAGAAAAATAATGACTTTTCATATAAAATCATTGTAAAAACTGGTTTTCAAAGTATCATGATATTATCGTGATATTGTGGGAAAAAATTGTGATATATCGCGATACGAAATTTTTGGCGATACCCATCCCTAATATTAAGAGATATCAAGAAACAAGTAATACTTGTATTGTTTAAGGCAATTTCTTCATATATCAGTAATTCTCAAACGGAAACACGTAAATGTCCGAAGATTGTGCAAGTTGCTTCCCTTTGACGCAAAAAGAGGCTCAACACGGGGAAACATTTCCTTAAAAAAGATCTTTATTATCTCTATCTAAACTTTTGTCTCTCTTCCATTACCAGATTTTAAGTTAATTTCCTTAAATATTTCACTCCTTATTTTGCAAGTTTATAAAAAATACTGACGATGGATTATCAATGATGTTTAAATTTTTTTAACTTGGCTGGCGAAAATGTAAGAAGATGGGCCCGGTTTGTAAAACATATCCTTCCACGTCATTAATATTACAAAGAGTTGTAAACCAAAAAATATACTCTAAAGTCGGATGATAAAAAACAACAGTTTTGTGAAAGGTGTTTTAAATATTTAGCATAATGTTAAGTAGTTTGAACTCCGTTAATACCAAACTTTTCTGCAAAAATCATCTTGAGCAGTATTTCACCTGTTCGTGAAGAACGGAATATGGTTCCGTTTTGTACTAAGACTTTCAATTATAACGTCAAAACGTTTTCTACAAATTCTTCTACAATTCTCTTTTTTTAAAGAGAGGATGGATACCCACAAAAGATAACTAAATTATAAATCTCATTTTTTTTATTTGATTTTTTTTATTTATAAAATCATAAAACAAATAATTGAAATGTCTATAATTTTATAAGTGTTGTGTTGGACTGGGTTAGGAACGGGATAGCAGAATGTTGTCAATGCGTACGCTGCGTGCCTTCATGCATATTATTTTTCTCTAAAGGAGAGTTAATGATTTTTTTTTTGGGGGGGGGGGGGGGGGCTTCTTAAGTCAGCATACATGTATATAAAGCTACATCGCTGGCTAAATATGATATATTTTATTTTAGAATCCTACGCACCCAAGCTTAATCCGACTATCTACTTCATTTATTCCTTTTTTAATTGGTTTAACTGCATTTCCTAATAAAATATTTATTAAGACATTCTCAATAGAGTCTATACATAATCAATTCTCTTTTTAACATTTATTTCGTTTGCAGTTAATCGACTTGTAAAAGAAAGAAAATGTTCTTTCACATGGTTTTATATCGTAATTCAACATAGCTTGTGTTTTTCTTTTTCTTTCCCTCAATGCATTTCTAATACTCCGTGTAACAAAGAAATTATAATTTTTGCATTTCTGAAATTCACATTAATATCCCTTCATTTTTTGTTGTTGATAAAAATATTTAGTAAACGATAAATAAACTCTCTATTTCAGATTCATTAGAATGTGGCGTTACAAATAAACTATCATCGTCGGAAATCCACGAGTGATCTAGTCTTTACTAATCACCCGGTGATACATGTAAGTAGTGATGATAAACTATATGCTACAAAGAACAAAAAATGAAAAATCATCCTCCAAAAATGATGCATTCATACTTATTGAGTCGAGAATTTCAGCCAATGTGTATACAATTATGTTTCCCGTGACTTTCCGCTACATGTAACTCTAAATCTTATTTTTCTTAAATTAGGTGGGGTCTCTCACATACGAAGTTAATAAAAATGTACGAACGACGCATGATTATTTTTTTATTTTACAATGAACTTTAGATTATTTACATCAAATTGATTTTTAAAGTAAAATTTTGTACATTATGAGATATTTTGTTAATGAACACAGAGAAAAATCCTTTTGAACGGTTAACATATTTTTGAAATTATAGTCCGTCGGCTGGAACGTTAAATAGTTCCCTATATTAAGGTTATCAACTACATGTATTTTGCATGCAACAGATAAAAAAATTCCCGCCGATAATTGCTGAAATCTTGCTGACTCGGCGTTGAGCAAAATTCAATCAGTCAATAATTTGTACATGTATATTTACTTATTTATTTTTCTATATTATGGATAATAGACATTTGATGAAAAGACGATTGGGTTTTTGCTAGGAGCGGGGGGGGGGGGGGGGGATAGTTTAAAGACATAATGGCTAATTTTTTTTCGAGCTATCCGTCCAATTACAACCAAGCGAGAATGATGTGGAGGGAAAGAGGATGTATATATAAGAACTAGCTATTTGAAGGTGAATGTAGCTGCAGTAGAGACGGTTTTAGAGGGGGGGGGGTGTCCTAATAAAATGAGCTTACTTTTAGACACAGTGCTAGTATCACACCATGTTTGATTTTACGTAATCACTATGTATATACAGGTGGATGTGATTTTTTTAAATTTACCTTAAGAATAATTAGTATAGCTTGATTTAAGTTTTGGTTTTATTGGCTGCATGGTTAATGTATTTTCTGTAAGAAACTAGGTATTTCTGAGATCAAATTCGAATCCCTGTATATTTTTTTTACTCGATTTCATTGGTTCCCTTTTCTTTTACATGGTGATTACGTAAAAACAAACATAGTGTGTTAACTAACTTGCATGTTTTGATGATACAGGCTTTATCAAACGTAAAGGCGGCATAATGTAGATCTATATTTTGTTTATTGGAAGTTCAGTTATTCATAGAGACAAAGCTGTCGGTACGAAAGACAGAAAAGTAGAAATTAAAGATCTTGGGGGGGGGGGGGTGTTGGTGTTGAGTATTTGCTTTTTAAAGAATTTAAAATACAATAAACACAGTTTTTGGGATTGTACATCATGATCATCTGTTTTTGTCATTTATTAAGCAATTCATTTAACTTAGTCTTAATGACCGCTTGCATTGCTACGCGTTGATAGGTGCCCTACCGAACAACCTGAGAATAAACCATGACGTCACAATTGAATCGTGAAAAAAACACGATATGCTCTGAGTTAATTTTGCAAACATTCCAATTTCAAAATGTAATAACTTTGTTATAATTGAAAATATTTTGATTCCGTTTTCAGTTTTTGTAATGGTTTTACATGGACCATTAAAAAACACAAAAATTCGATAAATTTTGCCATAAGGTCGATTTCTATCCGACGAAGCTCATTTGTTATTTGAAATCTTCTCTTTTTCAAAGATTTTTTAACTAAAATTGAAACCAACTCTAATTTCAACGAAAACTGCATGGAACCAAAAGTTAAATATTTGTAGAAAATGATTCAAGAGCAAAGAATGTGATAGACGTGTAGTGGACATATATAACGGTTTCAGTTACAATAAATACTAGACATACTTACAGTTTACGTAAATTGTATAAGCTGGCGAAGGCATTGTCCTGTATCGTGGTGATTTCGTTTCCGTGAAGATTTCTACGAAAGGAATAACAGAAATCAGATGTAGATAGTCCTTCTACAATATATACCCTGAATAATCGTGATCTTCATCAAAATCTATTTTTAAAAAACGGTGAATGAAACCCATCACTGTTCAGAGTGGTTCAAGCATGGTTCGGAATTCCTTCATACGTAATATAGATTACAAATGCTACTTGCATTGATTTTGAAATGTAATTTCTCAAATAAATGAGTTTTATTTTTGTAATTTATAAAATGATAGAATTATAACTACAGTATAACTACTCTGCATTGCAGTTTATTATTCTTAATTATTTTTGTGCATACAATAAAATGTAAATCCTGTAAAAATGGTACAACATATACATGTACGTACTAAAAATATATTTATAGCTTAACTGTGAATTATTTAATTATTTTTTTGGGGGATGGGGGGAGGGGGGGGTAAGACGAATCATACAGTGACATACACTTACTTTCATTGCCGTTTTTTGCTTAAAATTATGAGTTTTACTATTTGCTTTAAGAAACAGTTCAATAATTGAAGTGAAAGTTGATTTTGGATACAAGTATATACATCACATGTCGTAAATCAAGGGCATGTTTTTTTTTTCATATTCATGGTTCATACATATTTTATAAAATGAAATGATGAAGTGGTATACAACAATCTACGTGAAAACCGAATAAAACAAATTAAAATAATCGTCTAAAACAAAAACAATAATAAAAGTATTACAGCTGATTTAATCCCTGACAATGGTTTCCTTGAGAGATTATATTTCATGTTTTCTTTTATGAGCATGCTGGTAATTCTTCGATTAGTTCCTAAAAGTATAGAAAGAAAAATATATAGAGAGAGATGAAAAAAAGTACATTTTAACTCGAAAAGGTTCATCGTAAAGATGTAGCTATGTTACATTAAATCATGCACTGATATATGACAATGGTTTTTATAAGAAATAAAGGAAAGAAATTTTCAGTTGATGTAAATATGTTGTAATGACGAAACATCTCTATCAACTTCAGCAACTTAATTTAAAAAATTCCCCTTCATTCTATTGATTTTGTTTTGTAATTTTATTTTTTGAAATGAATTTTACAGAGTAAGAATTCCATTCTGTTCACGTGCCAGAAGCTTTGATATGCTAAGCCTTGTAAAGCGTTACATGTTACGGAAATATAAAACGACACCCCTATCCCCTGCACTACGGCCAAAATAAAACAAAATGAAAGCATGTCGTTGCGGTTTTATGTCGTGTATTTTCAGCATTGAATTTTTTTTTATGTCAGCATTTACATGAAGAAATAAGACCCGACCCTGAACTTATAACGGTTTTTTGTCAATCAAAAAAAAATAAAATCAATATATGTGCTTATACATGTATAATGATAATTATATATCCATAATTTGATGGCATGTTAAACAATATATTTCACACTGATAAGTGCAATGAGATTATAACTCCAGTGAAGAAATAGGTTTTTAACTTTTTAGCACGATAAGTGATCTGTTAAAAGACATTCAATGCTGATCGAGCTTGAGCTTTTTTTAAAGACAAACTTCTTCATGGCTTTAGAGATTTATTTGCAGATAATGCTTAAAACATTTGAACTATTTTAAAAAAAACAGCAACAGGTAAGTACCAAAGAGTTACAATTAAATTAAGTTTGGAGATCTTGAAAATTAATACCCATACATGTAGTTTAAATAACAAAAAAGATTATTTCTTTCATTTTACAGTATTTTATTACTTTATTTTGAAAACTCATCTTTTTCAACAGAGTTCCACATATCTCAATATCAGATAAATAGATTCAATATAAATATTTTTATCTATACCCTCTATTCTCTCTCTCTCTCTCTCATCAGATTAACTTGACCAGCTCTATTTAAGTTAGTACATTTAGAACATTTTGTTTTCATTTTGCTTGTTTTAATTTCTCTAAATTGAAGTGTCTTAGTGCAACAAGAAAATAATTAAGACAAAACAACGTTTTTAAAGTTTAATTTATTTAATCATGATTCATGAAACGGTAGATACTATACATGTATATACTTTTTTAAATGAAATTCGATTTAGATTATTTCATGCAAAAAAAAAGCTATGGATGAAAGATTTTTAAAAAGTTAAATACGTTTGTTCAATGCTACAGTTTTCCTTTTTTTTTTCTTTTTTTTCCTTTTCTACATTAATGAAACCTTGTTCCCAAAGAACAACAATATTTTTAATTAAAAAATTATAATTATGCTGACAATTAAAAGTGTTTATATCTCTTAATCCGGGAGCAAATTCATGCGAATGACAGTCCCTCTCTGGTACCCCTGTTACATCGATTGTTGACATCAGAGTTATCTCTCCTATTTTTTTATTTATACAAAATACAAACATCTTGACTGTCATTAGCTATTCCCGTTGACGCCATTTTATCTAAAAATAGTAACAGATTGGAAGGCACAATTCGTTCGAATTTGTTATGTGAAGTAAACATTGATATGAAAGTGAATACACTGGATCTAAGCAATGTCAATTGAAAGTAACTAATTAAGTAAGTAACAGGAAGTTTTTTATAATATATTATTTCTCTTTATGTACACAGAAATCATTTCATAAAGATACTTTGAAGCAAATGTACTTTCAATGAATAGCACAGCATATGCGAAAGTTTTCATATATTTATTTAAAATCTAAGATTAAGTAAGAAAAAGTACTTTCTAACGATTTTTAACATAATTTATGATTTTTTCATGAATAAACTGATTCTCTAAAGAGTCGCACAAACTCCCACAATATTTTTTTAAAATGTGTCTTCATCGGGATCGGAGACATATTTGTCATGTTGTGATTTATGAAGAATGAAGCGTTACACGTTTTTAAAAGGGAGTAAATTTAGTATATTTTTGACATATTATCATATATTTCCCATTTTTTCAATTGAATATTATTGAAAACATTAAAATCAGTCATTTGGATCTCTCCTTTATTTCAATCACGCTCGAGATTCATCTCGAAGTTGTCTTTCCTGATTATCTCTCCTAGGTGCTAGAAGTTGTCATTGTTTGGGTATATTTTGGCATCAGTATTGACTTTATTCCATATAATTTAATGAAAAGTATGCTTATACCTTTCATCTTTCAGACTTTACACCTCAAAAACCAAACAATTAATGTTGAAATCTTTCTTTTAATTTTTAGGTGGAATAGCTACTGTCATTCTTACACATTTTTGCTAAATTTGTAAAAACGTAGAAGATATATGTTTAGTTTCAACATTAGTACAAACAATTTAACAAAAGATTAAGCAGTATGCACCGATGGATCAATGTTCTGTCTATCTGTCAACATGTGATCGACGCGATAGCGAGAGTGGTGGAGCGGATCTCAAAAAAGGAAGACAATTTCCCTTTGCAATATTTTAACAATGTACTCCTGTCTAACTTGTATCTTAAATCTAGTATAAATATGTAAATAAATTTAAATTTATCTATCTAGAGTATAGAGGTTGATTTATAATTCTATCAGAAAAGCACCTTGTCGACAGCTTCTCATCTTCGGCGAAGATGACAGCCTAATTCTATGTATGTAGGAAAACTATTGGTATTAGAGACGCATAATAGATATGTTTGTTAAGAAACCAGTTCTAAATGTTTTTATTTATATCTATTAAAATCAGTAGATTCAGAGATTCGGATATTGATTTAATTAATTTATCAATGAAAATAGATTCCACATGTTGGAAACAGCAATAAAAACTCGGATGCGTCAAACGTCAAAACACGTGGTTTAAAAAAATTCTGCGTCGAAGTTCACCGTCAGTCTGCAACGTCATATCTTTATGACGTTATTTCTCTGTTTTGGCAAAAATGCCATAAGGCCCTTTTGTCATGGGCGCAATCATGTATGAAACCAAAAGTTAAATAGTTGTAGAAAATGATTCAATAGCAGAGAATGTGATAGACATGTAGTGAACATATATAACTGTTTCTGGTACAAGAAATACTAGACATATTTACAGTTCACGTAAACTATATAAGCTGGTGAAAACATTGTCCTGTATAGTGATATTTCGTTTCCGTAAAGAATTCTACGAAAGAAATAACAGAAATCAGATGTAGATATTCTTTTTACAATATATACCCTGAAGAATCGTGATCTTCATCAAAATCTCTATTTTTAAAAAACGATGAATAAAACCCATCACTGTTCAGAGCGGTCCAAGCATGGTTCGGAATTCTTTCATATGTAATATAGATTACAAATGTCACTTGCATTGATTTTGAAATGTAATTTCTCAAATAAATGAGTTTTATTTTTGAAATTTATAAAATAATAGAATTATAATTACATTATAATTACTCTGCATTGCACTTTATTATTCTTGATAATGTTTGTGCATACAATAAAATGTCATTCCTATGAAAATTGCACAACATATACATGTACGTACTGAAAAAATATATATAGCTTATCTGTGAATTAAAAAATGTTATTTTATTATAATTTTTGGGGCGACGAATCATACAGTGACAAACACTTACTTCCATTGCCGTCTTGTGCTTAAATTATGAATTTTACCATTTCCTTTAAAAACAGTTTAATTATTTGAAGTAAAGGTTGATTTGGGATACAAATATATATCGTCATATGTCGTAAATCAAGGGCATGTTTTTTATATTCGTGGTTCATACATTATTTTCAAAATGATATAATGAAGTGGTATACAACAATCTACGTGAAAACCGAATTAAACAAATTAAAATAATCGTCTAAAACAAAAACAATAATAAAAGTATTACAGCTGATTTTACCCCTGACAACGGTTTCCTTGAGAGATTATGTTTCATATTTTCTTTCATGAGCATGCTTGTTATTCTTCGATTAGTTCCAAAAAGTATAGAAAGAAAAATATATAGAGAGAGATCCAAAAAACAAAAGTATATTTTAACTCGAATGGGTTCATCGTGAAGATGGCAATGGTTTTCAAAAGAAATAAAGGGAAGAAATGTTCAGTGGATGTAAACATCCCTAACTATCAACTTCAGAATACTTTTGTATTGAATCCAAATGATTCTGCATAAATAAATAATATTTCGTAAAAATGCCTCTGACAATATACGAAAATTTATTTTAGGATAGAAACAATTACAAATGCATATGTATTTGTATTAATAATTCTTTAAAATATCTAGCTGAGGAGTTGTTACTGTTAAATATTCAAACTTACATGTAGGACCTTTCCAATTAATTGTAGACTTAACAATGCTGCGAACTTGATTTCTTTACATATGTTTTGATATATTTCTCAATAGAGTACACGAGGGCATAATGAAGCAAAATTCTGTAAATACCCAAATCAACTTTATTTGTTTGTGAATACATTTTGAATTTATTGTCTTTACATTATAACAATGACATCACATGCATCTTCAAGTATATCTCATGTAAGGAAAATTCGTTTAATTCTTACATGAAACTAATGTTGTAGAAATTCTTATGGTGAGAAAAAAAGAAAAATTCTGTTAATGTAAACCGGACGATACTATCAAAATCAATATAAAAAGTTATTGAAAAAATATCGGGTTATTTAATTATCCCCGTAGGTATACGTGCATATTCGGTCGGTTTTACTGGGCATAAGTCAGGCAGGTCTATTTCCCAATGTACAAACAATAATTTATCAGTCGGGTTTTAAAGAGTCGTCCTCATTCAATGACGCATTAAACAATCACACATTATCCACTGGTATAGATTGTATTTGGTTGAAGACATCCGTTAATCGGTAATTATAAGGTTACAGTTTTTGCATTTAAAAAAAATCATTGATTTTCCATGCTTAAATTTATAAATAAGAAACATATGGGGATAACGAACAGTGATCAAGATCAAAAGATAATAAAATAATACAAAATACAATGTACAATGTAGGAGCAAAGCAGACACGGACCTTCAAAACATCATAGATGTGATCAGGTGACATGGAGGAGTGAGCATCATTTATAGCAGATTAGAAGATTTTCAAAGTATTGATTTACTTTCAGTATATAATAAATAAGCCCCCTCAAATACATGTACCACCCAAAAATGGAACCAGTGACCAAGGAGCCATGAAATTAACAATATTGGAAAAGACACTCTTCCTCATCATAACCGTGTACTTTAATCGTCAGCTTAATTGACAGAAGCAGAGGAGAAGATCTGAAAAAATATGTATTTTATAATATAATAATAGAGTTCAACCCTGACAACAGAACTCTGACCCAGGGGCCCTGAAATTCAGATTTTTGTAAGAGGCACTCTTCCTCATCATAACTTTGTACTAAGTTCGTCAGCTTAATTCCAAGAAGCAGAGGAGAAGATTTTCAAAGATTTAATGCATGTTTACTATACTATCATTAGAGCAAGCCATAACATCTGAACCCTTCATCAAAGGGTCACTAAATTCACAATTTTGGAAGAGGCAGCCTGCCTCATCAAAACTTTTTACTTAGATCATCAGCTAAATGCTTTACAGCAGACAAATTTTTTTTAACAATTTAGTGCATTTTCAGTATATAATCACTAAAGCCCCACCATAGTTCCAAAAAACCTGGCCCTAGGGGACAATTTCAAACTTTTGGTAGAGGATTTAATTCTTATAACAATCAAGCCACAGTTTAATTCCTTGATGTCCAGAAATATAAAGGAGAATTTTTAAAGATTGCATTATTCTTAATGGATTTGACCCACCTCTCGGGCCCGAGAGAGGCAGGGACCATGACATTCACAATTTCTGTTCACCCATAAATGCTTTGTGCCAAAATAGGTTTAAATAAGTTTAGAGGTTGCAGAGAAGAAGACGAGAATGGTCAAATATTTGCGCAAGGCGATCGACGTACAGGCGCACGACAACGAAAAAAACAGATAACAAAATGTTACCTGAGTCTACTCAGGTGACCTAAACAATGAAATCTAAAAAATGAATTGTAATCAAGCTCAAATGTTAAATAAAAGAAATCTTTATGAGTAGATTGACATGAACCTATAAAATCAAGAGATAATTGATCAAGGTACTTAGAATGGATACTTGCATATGATAATTATTTACTTACAGATTCTGTAAATTTGACAAACCATTGAAGGCATTGGTCTGAATAATGGTTATCTTGTTGGAATCTAACAACCTAAAACAGATTTTTAAAATAAAACAAAGTGCATTTGTTTCACTTAACATAATTCAGACAAGTATCATTTCTCCAGACATTTAATTTATTCCATCAAAATGATATTGGTGGATGGGCCTGCAAAGCTCTTAGCGTTATTAAGATTGGGGATTTTTTTTAAATGCTCCTCTAGTCGCTTTATGAATCAGTGTTAAACTCAAAAACAGCAAAATTTATCATATTATATATCTAAATCTATCATTCATAAGAGACCAGAAAGAATTTTTCAATCTAATTTTTCCTCTGCTCTTATTGGTACTGTTTTATGCACATTTGTTCTTAAATACTCATGTTTTCTCCTTATGTTTCATTGTTATATGAAATTCTTGATTCTTGATAACTTTTTGTACATGCAAAAACATATTAACATTTGACAACATGCACAAGTATTTACTGAAAAACATATGCATATCTAAACTGCCAATTTAAAAACCAGCTATTTTTTATCATATAATGAAGGGACAACTTGTCAAGACAGTATCCTCCATTACCGTTTTGTGAATTTTACTATTTATTTGAAAAAAAAAATTCAGTTCAATCATTTTAAATAACGGTTGCAGTACTATACATGTATCTATCGTCACAAGTTGTAAATCAATGGCATCCGTTTCATATTTGTGGTTCATACATTATTTACAAAGGAGAAATGATAGGTCTTTACCAAAAATCTATGTGAAAAACAAATTAAACAAATAAAAAAAACTTGAACAAAAACATGATTCAAAGTATAACAGCTGATGTTACTTCTGACAACAGATTTCAGGAAAGATTGACTTTAAGATATGAGTTCATGAACCTACTGGTTATTCTTCAATCAGTTTCAAACATTATAGTAAAAAAAAAAATAGATGGATTAATCAATTACAAGCACATTTAAACTCGAATGGGTTCATAAAGATGTACCGGAAACTATGTTAATCTAAAAAAGTATTAAGCACCATATGTATTTGTCTAAAGCGTGTGCATATTTTCTGTTCTTGAATAATTTTTTTTAATGTTATTTGAAATCTTCTCTTTTCAAAGAGGTTTTAACTAAAATTGAAACCAACTCTAATTTCAACCAAATATGTATGAAACCAAAAGATAAATATTTGTAGAAAAATGATTCAATAGCAGAGAAAATGATAGACATGTAGTGAACATATATAACAGTTTCTGTTACAATTAATACTAGACATACTTATAGTTTACGTAAATTGTATAAGCTGGCGAATGCATTGTCCTGTATCGCGGTGATTTCTTTTCCATAAAGAATTCTACATAAGGAATAACAGAGATCAGATGTAGATAGTCCTTTTACAATATATACCCTGAAGAATCGTGATCTTCATCAAAATCTATTTTTAAAAAACGATGAATGAAACCCATTACTGTTCAGAGCGTTCCAGGTATGGTTAGGAATTCTTTCATACGTAGTATAGATTACAAATGTCACTTGCATTGATTTTGAAATGTAATTTCTCAAATAAATGAGTTTTATGCCTCCTCTTTTCCCAAAATGCCATGAAAAAGGACAAAAGACAAATGTATATTGAAGTTGAATTTTATTGATCAAAATAAAGGTTTTGATCAATAAACAAAATTGTAGTTAATATAAGCATCAAAGGTTACCAACAAAATGGACAGTTGTTCTTTACACCTATAAAATATTTCTTACATACATGTATAATAATAACAGAACACAAACTCTATATTAACTACTGTTTGCCGAAAACAATTGTAAAACATGTATATACAGTTTTCTTCATACAAAACAAAATCCAGAATTTAACATGTAAATAAAGAGAGTATACAATGTATAGTTTGAATGTTATAAAATTGGCAAAGGTGGGGTCAATTATCCTGACCACACTCTAAAGTGGTTCAGGGGAGGAGGGAGGGTAAATAAAAAACTGGTTAAAATGATCCCAAAAAATCTTTGTTTTCCTCCAGGCTAAGTCTAGTACAAAAAGGACGCTATCTCTTAGCCAATGAAATCCAAGGAAAGTTGAGAGGCTACATACGGGTTACTGAT